CGAATTTGTGTCTAACTTCCACTGTTTCTTTGTAAATCACTAAAATTTTGAATATTGTTTTCTATTATCTATTTTCATTCATTTGCTAGTCAATTATTTTCAGTCCATCTTCTGGAAATGTAAGTATTTTTTCAACTTTTCCTATGCTTTAACAAAAATTGTTTTCACGAGTACAAATAACATGAAGTTATGAAATGTGCATAAGTTGCAAGCAAAGTTTGGCATGGTTTGAAAGAACTGTTTAGTGAAACTTTTCCAGCTATACACAGTAATGCTAGGGATATTTGTCTTTAAAATTTCTAAGTGTAATGCTGCTTTTCCACATATTTTTAGAAGCAAACAAACTCTGAGCACCATCACTTTTCCTTGGAACTGTAACTTAATCTCAAGCAGGTTTTTAGTGGAAAAATTGAAGCATAGCAAGATTTATTTAAAATAAAACAAAACCTTTCAATTCTTCCCTCCTCTTACCTCTCAACTCACACTGCATTGCTATTTGCATAATATAGGAGTGAATAACTTTCCTCAGAATAAAATCAACTTCATTGTGATATGTGTCTTAGAAAAATTAGGATTGATTGTACAAGTTTGGGCTATTGAAAACAAGTGTGATGGTACTTACTTTTGGACTATTTTCGTTCGCAAATGAAAGCATAAAAAATGGTATCTCCACATTCCAGAGTGCATTTAGATTTTGGTGGGGTGAGAGGGGAAAAGGAATACTATCCTAAATTACCTGTGAGAAGTTTATGACATGGCCACTTGACTGCATTGTTTTGCCTATGTACCTTTTGTCAATGTAAAAGTCTGTGATTTGCTTGAAAGGGGTCATCCTTTCTGTATACAGAAGAATGTCTGATAACCTCAAGGGGCGTAAATCTTAACTTTTAAAAAGGAGTGCTTCTTTGGGTCACTTTGATCAGTGACAGGTCGAGAATGAGCAGAAACCCTTGGCTTCTTTTCCATGCTCATCTGGTTAGGTCCAGGGCACGCACTGCCCATTCTAGTTCTGGCAAGGAGTTGTTAACAACAGAAAAGAAGGTCTGGGCTTGATTGATTAAAAAAAAAAACAAAACAGGCTTTTGTGATTGTCTGCTTTCATAAATGTTTTGTGCATTGGTCAGAATAAGAAATGCCATTTTTCTTCATCCACTTACCTTAAGGGCTGTAATGTTCTAAAATACTTAAAAGTCATTTCAGAAATGACACTGTAAGAGAAATGGCTGTAACCCACAGTGACACAAAATGCCAGAACCATCCACCTTTTTGTTGAGAAAAAGGTATGCTTAATCCATTTCAGATAAAAAGGTAATAGCCTTTCCAGAAGCTATTTTCAACATGAGAGTGAAAAAGCAGTATACAGAATTATAAATGGATCTGTACATCATTATATTGTAATTTAGGATTCACTCAATGATGTAACAAAATTAACAACATAATTTCATTGTGTAACTGTATCTTATTAAAGAACAACTGTCTGACATTCTCTTACAGTTGCTTTATTTAACTTCATGCAAATATTATTAGTAGTGACATTTCTCTATTGTACATTAGATTCTCTCATTAGCATGATGTGTTAGTTATCACCAGAGAAATCACTTCTAGATAGGTGAGCGAGAAGCCAAGAAAACGAAAAATTAAATCAATGATGTATATTAATATAGACGCATCTGTTCACAAGAGATATGGTACAGTAAATGCAGCTTTTTTTCCTTGCATAAATGCATGCTTATTCCAAGGAAAACTAAATAATACTTATAATATGTGGAGTATGCGCTTATATTACTAGAAGTATTAAATTGCAGACAACATGCACTGCCTGTTTTGAGCTGTGCTTGTATTCCTGCATCTGATAGTTCCTAGCATTGATGTAGGCATAGGCACATAAACTGTTTATTGAACCTGTATTTAAAAATAGGAGAGTAGTGTAATGTCTAATGGATTGAAGGTGAAAGCTTTTTAAATGTTTCCGGGTTGCTGGTCATAGAGGTTGTATGCAATTTTAACATTTATTAAGTAATTAACTGTTTTACTGTAGCATATAACTACGTACATGTGAAAAGAGTTCAAACTTAATTTGACAACAGGCTGTAATACCATACATTGATTTACTATGAACATTTTGAGAGGAAGATTGGCTTTGGTAAAACGCATTTCATAGCTTAAAGTAGCTAACAATCACCTTTGTAAGTAAGAATCAGCAAATATAATAATCTTTTAATTTTATATATATGTCACACCATTCTAAAGAATAGCTGAGCCCTGGTGGAGTTTACTCCTTTTTTATGCTGTTTGTGATTGAGTTCACTTGCTAATATGAATTTAGAAGATTTATCGGTTACATTGTCTTATTTCAGACACTTGCTTTAATTTTTTTGGGTATTTTGGTAAAGCATGGTTTAAACATGTACTTGTCCTTTTATCAAATCAAAAATATTTGCCTTAAGAATTTCTTGCTGTTTCCAATATACGTCAGAATAGAAACATTGGGAGATATTGT